TAATTTATAGTTATGTTAAAGAACACTATAATTGAATTCAAGTGTTACCCCTTCCCACTTCCAATGCATGTATAAAGACTTCAATAAATATCCTGCCTGCTTAAATAACTTTATTTAAATTTTCGATCTTGAATTGCAGAAATGTATTTACAATTTTTTAAGTATTCTGTTTACTTTCATTCACTTGTAGAAATGAGGAAACATGACACTACTAACTATTGGCCTGTGATACTAGAACACATAAAGAGGTTTGTACTGATACACACACCAACCTACAAAGAGCTGACTGGCTCACAAAAAAAAACAAAACAATGTTGTTTAGGCAAAATCCCTACGAGTACTTTTAGCATTTTACTCCATAAGTCCGATATCATTGAGAGTATTGTCATGGAAAGTTGCCATATTGTCCTGTGGAATTTAAGTGTTTGTTGTCCTTTGTACTGAATTTGTTCGACAGCCATGTGACACTAGTTGATTCAGCAAAATGTACATGTTCAATACAATTGCAAACTTAATGTTTACAATGATGGTTTTATTATGACTGAAAAATTACAGAAACTCATTTTTGTATTGAAATCTGTAACATCCTAAGAATCCTAACTGCCATTAAATCCAGGATGTGTGAATAAAATCAAAAAGGAAAGAAGAAAAAGAAGAAAAGGAAGAGGAACAAATATGAATCTTTATATCCCTGTTACAGCATTCACCTGTGTTCCTCATATTGCAGTCCAGCACTGATTCATAGTCCAGCACTTCATTCTCGTCCAGCCTTCAGTTTCTCCTCCATTGTGTGATCTCCCCTCGATCCTCCCATGCATGGTGGACTCTTAGCCAGGGTGGGGTTACTCCCCCACTGCTCAGGTGTTTTTGCCTGTATAGCAAGTGCATGAACACAGCTACTCAACTCCTCCTTCAAAGCATCATTAACCAGACGGTGGCGCTGTATCAGTGGCAGACCTTTGAATTGGGCGCTAACAACCAGGACACGGAAGTGGGATTCGGAACCAGGGGGCACGGCATGCATGTGACTTTCATTGTGTACCTCTAAGTGGTCTGGCTTGAGCGTGTTGGTGAGTTTGGTTCTGATAGCCCTCTCAACAGGCCGGCTTGGGTCTGGGTCCATTTGTGGTCTGAAGTGAGCCAGAGGCCGGCTTAAGGCAGGAGTGATAGAGATGGGCCGAATACAGCGGAGGACACTGGGCAGCATCTAGAGGTTGTGGCTGGAGACCACCTAACAGAGCAAGATGGGTATAAATACAGATGACAACCTATTTAATGACAGGACAGACATCCATGTTCTAGCAGGTATCTTAGTTTAATAACAGGCTTTGGGGTGTATAATCAACACACCCTCCAAGAACAATACTGGAGGGACTTAGCTCTTATGCAACAGTAGCCATGTACAACTGGTTGTATTTATAATGTTTACGTATGTTCAGATGAGATAAGACGTGGTTATACTACAACGCATTCAGAAAGTATTCATACCCCGTCACACTTTTTCACATTTAGTCATGTTGCAGCCTCATGCTAAAATCGTTCAAATGAATTTCCCCCCTCATCCATCTACACTCAACACACCATGATGACAAAGGGAAAATATTAGCACCGGGTTAGCGCGGAAGCTAAAGTTAAAGCATGGAAATAAACAATGGCTCTCAAGTCACTATTACAGTTGGTTGCACATAAGTTGGTGACACTACTTCTAAATACGGCAATGCCTTTAAAGAGCCAGCCTTGCTCAAAGTTAGGTGAACATTCAAGCTAAAGTACAGCCAGTGAAATTCAATGTTGATTTGCTAGCATTAGCGGTTAGCTTTCATTATAAACATCACCCACTACGTAAGCAACCTGAGACAGTGTAAAAGTCTTTACAACGAACAGCTCCAATAAACATAACATATCTGCCCGTGTTTAACAGTATAGTTGAGTTAAAGGGTAAGTTAAGAAGCAGACGTTAACTAAAGTAAAGAGTGATTTTAGCTGCTCACCTTGCAAGTGAAGTCAGTTGAGCCTCTGGAACAGTGACGTAACACGCACCGGAAGCACAAACACTTGGGTTTGTAGTTTTAAGGCGCGTTGTAGTTTTCCAGCAGCGCTTCTAGAAGATTTAGTCTTTTAATCATTTCTAGTAAGGTGATTTCAGGTAAAGTATTACTGTCTTTGGGCTCTACAACAGTTTGTCCAGTCCAATTAACGTGCCTATGATGTTACGTTTTTGCTATTTCCTGTAGGCAAATAAATAGGTTATAAAATATACAAAAAAAGTCCTAAAAAAATGGTTCAGACAAAAAATTTAAAATAAAAGTCAGGATGATGGAGGTTCCTGTCAGAATTTCGACATAAAGGCATTGAAAATAAAAGTCAAATTGAAGCCTGCTATGTTGCAGCCATTCTCAGCTGTTCTGCTCCAGTGATTTTCCATAATAAATATAAAAATAGTGTGTATTACACAAAAGTTAAAAGTTTAAATGAATTGCTCAATTTAGACAGAAATAGCTTATATAAAACCAATATTTACAGACATAAAGAAACGACAAAGATTGACTTCTTATATTTTTTTCCACTTGTTTATTCATCATGGTTCTTTGTTATCCATTGTGATTCTAAAGGGTCAGTTGCACCACCTAGTGCAAACCCAATCAAAAATCAGCAATGCGAAAATATAAGAAAAAATCTCACACACCTTTAAACAGAACTGATGTTGTCACATTTAGGCTACCTATGATTCATAACTGGTATTTAACATTAAGGTATTTACTTATATTTCATTCTCATTTACAAAATGCACAAAATCAAAGACAACATACATCATTGTTCATTTACACTTCTTTTTTATAACTTTTTTTATATTTATGGTTCCACAAACAGTTTCTATACTTACAAACAATCAACTACAGTTTCTACAGCACAGTACAATGACCAAGGTGATAATTTTTTTGTTACATTTATTTAATGGCGATGAAATCTTATTGACAAAAGCCTCGAGACCTAGGGTTGTTTTAGAGAATACACACGAATGTTAGCTGTTTAGTCCTGTGTCATTACTAAGCCAACATTCAGCATTTTAGTGGACGAGGCCAGCGTATAGTAACATGCTCCAATCCCCAATAGCTTCAAAGGAGAGAATTAGAGACAATTACCCAAACACTTATTGCTTTGTTAACTTTTTGCACTCACAACTGCCGGTTGCTCAGGCAACAAGTTAATTATACAAAAAAACCCTGTAACATAAGCTAAGATATGTATCTACGAGAGACAATCTTGACTTGGACGGAGCCTGAATTGAGTCACTGAGACAGGTTAGCATTTTAACAGCATTCCATGTTGAACAAATACAACAGTTATCTTGACATCGTTGTTCTTATTTCCATGGGTGATACAGGACGACATACAGAGAATAGAACTGCTGATGCTTAGCTTTTATATTTGTACAGTTAATGTGCATTTATATACTATCAGTGTGCTTTTACGAGGGAATCTGGGCAAATTTTGCTTTCTGACTTGCTGGCAAGTTCGGCTTCTGAAGCCATTATTTCTCGCAGTTTTAAAACAAGAGCACCTGGACTCCTAAAGACAAGTTCTCAGATGAGTTGTGAAAATAAAATCTTAATTACCACATACAGCAATAAGTCCAGTTCTTCTTGTTTAACATGACCGATGGCTGAAAACCTACAAAGACAGACTGCAATATAGTATATTTCCAGGGGTCAGAAGGTTTGAAGAGCTATCTTATTAGTTACATTATGTTATTTTTATTTACATATATTCATATCTATAACAGAGAATTGATGGTGTAATGTGTAAACTCAGGCCATACAAAATATTTGGCAATAATTAATGAGAGGTGGTACCCATGGCACACTCATAGATAATGGGTCAGATGTCAAATTTGAAATTAGATTAGTGTGAGATAGTTTGAGAGGGTGAAATGTAAGGGGCAAGTCATCAAAGCTCGAAGCACCTATGTTCACAACTGCACTCATGTTCACAATATTGTCATTTGGTAGGTTTTGGTCTTTGTGCTCTTGCTAAACACTCCCCTGGTTTTTCATTAAATTTCTAGCAAGGCTGCTTCAGGACGTGCCTTGAAGAACTCAAGGCATTCACAATTGTGCATGTACGACAGTGTACACTTAGTGCAATGGGTTGTCTATTTTTTCAACTGTCTTGAGTCTACGTATGGCTGCTATCCTACAAAATGGCAGTTTGGACAAAAACTTTTCTTTTTTTTATTAATCTGACATGTCAATGATTGTTTGTTCTTTTCTTTTCTTTTGCCATGCAATTGTGAACATATCACTCTTACTTTTCTAGATCAGGGGAATGTGGCAATAATTTTCACCAACACTCTGTGCTGTTACCTGTGTGGGATATATGACAATCAGCCCTTGGCAGTGAGTTCTCTAAGGTGAATCTCATGTTGTATCTAGCTACGTTTGTATAATGAAGCACAAGTAAACACAAGGTCCCAGTGCACTCCAAATTCATACCCCTCATTAGCAGAATAATCCTTCTCAACGCCGATTATTCCTCACTGTTCAACGTGTTCTGTGCCCAAATGAGGAAAACATAAAATAGAGCAACCTCTGCTGTGTTTACTGTGGGTGCAGAATTTCTTTCACACTTTCTTGATCCAAGAGCAAAAAACAGGTTGAGCATGTCCAGTATGATATCCCACCATGTTCAGTTATCTATATAAGACAACTACCCCACATCCATTAACCAATAAGATAGAGTTTGCCAAATGTGAAATGGTAATAAACAAAAATAAATAAATAAAATAAAATAAAATAAAATCTCAATATTGGAGAGGTTCAATATTGCACTAAGAAGCACACTCACATTAATATAAACATTCAGTTCATACAAGGAATTAGATTATAGTTTATCTGTCATCTCTTACACACTTAACACACTTTGCACCTGCAACAAAACCTTCAAAACTAAAAGTGTAGCCTTTCAGTGTAACTTTTCTTTTTTTTTACACTTTTGATTGCTTTCACATGTAATAGTATGGTTTAAGTGAATAAAAGGAATATTTTCATTTAAGTTGTGCAGTGTGCTCTAAGGAGAGTGGGGTAAGACTCATCACTGTTAGCAACAGCAGTTGCTAGCACTGTCTTTTATGGGTCAGAGAGATCAAAATATTATGGCAAGGTAAGCCAGACCAATCAATGAGCAGATGTAACATGTCCAAAAATGCTGTTTAGGCTACATGTTGTATACTCTCAATTTTCATAAAGTTACATACATACTTTGTGACATGCATAACACCCTCCAAAACATGTTTTATAAGAGACAAGCATACTGTAAGTCTGGGAGGAGAGATACTAAAAAGGCATTTCTTACAAAGGGATATACAGTATGATTGAAAAATGATGATTGAGAGTGAGATTCTGAACATTTTCATCAAGTCAAGAAAATGTTCGGGACATTCACATTGGCTAATGGTTGTGCTTCAAATGTAAATTTCAACGAATTAGCTTCGTCTTTGTGATAAAATGGCAATCATGACAGTGAATTATATTTGAATGATGACCCGTGACATGTTCGGAGGTGATCAAAAAACTATGTCTTAAAGGGAAAAAACTTGATTTATCTCCTTATCGCAGTCTAACAACAACAAAAACAAACCTGGAATGTTCTATAATCTATAAAATGGCAGTCTGTACACTAACACAAGACCTTTGGGAGACAAAGAATGAGGACAGGTCTTTGTTAAAGAGAAAGCCAAGAGAGGTCGTGTCTTGGTTTTACCCCGCAAAGTCAAAAATGCTTCAAATCAAGGCATAAAATGTCAAATTCTTGATTCTACGTCCAACAATGGCAACGTATTTAAGACTTGAAAGGTGAGTTGAATTTGCTCAGAAGAATGGAGGTGACTACAGAGAACTCTGCAACAATGGCTAGTGGTCATTTCTATGAGTCTATTTGCATGGCTCATTATCAAGAGCCCCCATGACCTGACCTCCAACCCCAGGTGCATGTACTTGTATTGGGGGGGGGGGCAAATCTAAATGTACTGTTGTATTCCAGGGATACAAAATGACACGCTCCTGCTGAATAACTTAACATTATGTTTTCCTCATGTTATCATTGGCACCAATTCTGAGCAATCATGAATAATCTGTCTCAATCAGCTCAAAGCTTATTCAGGCATTATAATGTTTTGTCACAGCTCCACTTATGTATGTATATATATATATATATATATATATAGCATGGAGGGGTACCTATCAAATAATCACCAATCTCAAGTATTTACAGCTCAGTACATCTGTGTCGCTTGTGTTATGTGCACAAACTTTACTTGGGGGGAGGGGTTAGAGGGTAGGATCTGGAGGGCTCTTGAGCTGTTCGATCACAGTGTGGCGAAAACTCTTCTGCCCCCCGGAAAGTTGTTGGTGCCACACTATTGCAGCACCTGGCCCCGCGTCTCTGGTAGTTTGAGGGCCAGAAAACTGCCCGCCGCCAGCGCCCCCGAGGCAAAGAGTATGGGCACAGCCTTGGTTATACCAACGAACGAGGTGAAGATGCTTATGCCCAACACAGCCGCTAGTTTACAGAGGGCGTTGAGGAAGCCAAACGCTGTGGTTCTGGGGGAAAAAAAGAGGAGACGGACAAGAAGGATAGAGTCAGTTCCTTATTTATCGTTTCATCACATTTAAAGGAGGAATAAAAACAACCAAAGTAGAAAATCAGTGGAGTAATACAGCAGCAGAAGATTCATCTTTCCCAAGTGCAGCCATTTTCTTGCTGATAATAACTGTTAAGGTGAATCTCAGAACTATGTATTTACACATTATTGATTGTAAAGGCTGTAGGAACTGTATGTGACCACAAGATGGAGCCACATCTCCTGAAATCAAAACTCTCAAATGCTGTTCTACTTAAATCAGAGCGGCAACACTAAAGATGCATGTTCCCGTTTCGGTGAGATTTTTGAATTATGTTCAACATAGAAACAGCCATGTTTTATGTCATATGGGGCTTATTTTCAATCAGTAAATCAAATTAGGATTTACATACTAAGTAGCAGCAACATCCTGCTAAAGCCATTGGGTGGCAACAAGATGGCTAAATGCTTTACATCACAAGCACCACCAATGATTTCATCCCACAATGTCATCCATCCCTGTAAGCCAACCAATCATTGTGGGGGCAACTCTTATGACATCATTTAACATGTCATTCAGCACCAGTGACCGTGTCATCATGGTGTCAAGGAGATTTCAGGGCAGGCCTAAATTGCTTACCTCTTGTCAGAGGGGTAGAGCTCGACAGTCAGCACATCCAGGGCGTTCCAGGAGGCGATGCTGATTCCCCCGAACAGGCAGAGCAGAGCAATCATGGCTGACTCGCTGTTGCCAAAGGACAGGAAGAAACAGCTGATGCAAGATATCACACTGGAACCCGCTGTAGAAAAAGAGGGGGAAAAAGAAAGGTGTTGGAAAAGAGTGATGTATGAAGACAGGAAGGAGATCCTGCATTATTCAACTGACAATTACTTAGCATTAGCCTTAGACTTAGCATTTTTTTACATTTGTACACATGGTACATGCTAGAAAGAGCAATAAACATGGTCCCATTGGTGCTCAATCCAAATCATTTAGCTATTGTGCATAAAAACTGAATATTTTTGTTTCCTAAAACAAGAATAATTGACCCTCTCAGTTTCAAAGCTCTAAGAATACATGGGCATCTGGATTGATGACAAAGAGTCCATATTAAAGTATTCATTGATAAACTAAGAATGAAGTTGAAGCTATTTAACAGTATAATAGGCTTGTTTCCAAAGATCCTGCAAACTAAAGTTTGAAGAAGACATTTTTGTCTCAGTCCTAGATTATGGTGACGTGTTTTATGCTTAAATCAGTCTTCACTCTCAACCCTCTAGACATTATTTACCATTAGCTTTTTATGTGGGCTGGCCTTGCCTCTGTGTAAGAAGCAAGCATCATTGGATTTTCTGTTATTTATGTAGTACTCCTCAGGTGTCACCAGGAGATCTGGAACTTGTCAAACTTGTTCTGCAGATCGACTGGCAACAACTGAGCAGCTCCACAGCAGCAAATAGGAATTGTGTCTTGAGCATCAAACCAATGGTGGGCAAAGTAGAGGAGTGTGTTTCTCATCTTTTATCTTTTAACACCCTGTTTTCCTGGCTTGTCTTTAAGAATGAATGACTGAATGGTCAAGATGCCGATGTACTAACTTAGCTTTCATTGCTCTTCCATTTCAACACATATGATGCCGAGTGATTACCTAGCATCCTCAACCGTCCGATCTTGTCCATGAGCAGCGCGGAGACAATGTTGCCTGGCAACACAGCCAAGGTGCCCAGGAAACTGACAAAGTAGACCATGTAGGCATTGTTGTCATCACTGACGTCACTAAGCAGGCAGCCCTCTTTGTTGTGCAGGAAAGTGCTGTTGATGAGCCTGCAGTTGACCAACCTATACTTGAAGAGATCTGGAGAGAAACAAGGGGGAGGGAGGGGGTGCAGAGGATGAGCGGGTGGCAGAGAGGAGGAGAGGGATTGGAGGGGTTGGTTAATAACTCAGTCAACTAGTGGTAACAAAAAACTCTTACTCTAACTCTAACATTATAGTAACTAGCTTTTGTAACTCATCTGTGTCCATTTTTTCTTAACACCATGCAACATGTAGAAAAGCAATGTTTGGATTTTTCTCGAGAACCGCGTGAAGTGTGAAGTCCATTGGCTGAGTGGTTGTCAAGAAAATCAAAATACAGACATACAAGTGCAAATTCTCATTTCAATAAATAGCAGTCCAGTACAACACAATCACAAAGAACAGCCTCAAAAAGTACTGAGTCAAAACACTGTACCATACCCTCTGCTGTAGCCTGCATGTTCTACACGTGCTAGTGAATCTAGCTCGCTGCCTTTTAGGAGACAGTTTGTTACTCAGACATTTTTTAGTACTTAACTTTGCCCAAAGCTCTTTTCTACTACTACTACTAACTGTATGTATACTTACTACATGTGCTAGCTATCCTATCCCTCTTTTATTGCTTTCCCTGAGATTTATTCTATTTGTTCCCTGTAAAGGAGTTTATGTGTGTTTTGTCCTTATCTGAATCAAGTGTCTAAAGACAGAGGGTGTTCTATGTTGTACACACTGTAAAGCCCTCTTAAACATAGAAGTAAAAATAGAGCGAAATATATATATATATGTTATTATATGTTGCTTCCTGTTAGGTATTTTATTATTTTCAAATCTTTTCCAAGCTCAGTATAATTTGCCAAGTCACTCTGTTTCAGTAAAGGTGAATATGAATTATTGACATCTTGCAGTAACAATACTACGATGCACAGACTATCATGATGTCATACCTGCACAGCCCAACTGCATTCGCCATGTGATTTATTCCCATCAAGCCGCATTGTTATAATAAGATACACTATGGCAACTATCACTCAGCTATAACTTCTGAACAGGGAGCCCAAGGAGAGATTAAGACTTAATAAGCAAACAAGTTTGTAATTCTCATTCTAATGAGGAGCTTCTGGTCGGCACTGATAGCAGCTGTGAGTGATTGCTTGACGTGTGTGAAGACTGCAAACAACCAACAAAGCAACAGGTAGGTCCGGCTGACACATCTTTTGTGTTTGCGTGCGTGTGCACCGCTGCAGACTCTATAGAGGCCAGTGTCCACATACACACTTCTCATCAGATTTCTGCATGTGACCCGTTTTGTGCCATTTTAGTGGAGAAAAATCTATTGACAGTTTGAGATGAGAGGTAGCGCTGCAATTTTAAAGCTATGGAGGAGTCATTCCGAGTTGCTAGGAGACATTGCAGCTCTGCAAAGCTGCATTTGGCATCGGCAACCATTTTGACAAACACTTGGAGCTGATTTTGCCGCTTTTTTACCGGCTGGAAAATGCAGTGTCCACTGAAACTGAACATTATAAGATATAGTAAGATGGCACAGGCTATTGTACTGGATTGTAACAGATCGTACAGGTAATAAAACAGCTGTAATTGAAGAATATCATCTGTACACAGCAAAAGAGTTGTTCCGATGCCGATACTAGTATCGGAAATGCCTCCGATGCTGCCTAAAATATGGTATTGGGTATCGGGAATACGCAAGTCTGTGCAACTATCCGATACCACATCATTTATTATCCATTTTTATAGTTTCACACTCGGATAAAACAGCTAAAAATCCACTGGAAACTACTGTCTAGGAGTGGCAAAGAATACCGGTAAAATAGTGTAACATTATTCATTAGCAAAATGTCGGCAATTTGGCAACATGTTACACTGGAACGTCCCACCAGTAAAAAGGCAACGTGTACAGTTTGCAAGGCAGTCAAATTATATAATAAAAGAAAGATTCTATGGCATTTATGTATCTGTTCATGTTTTACAGGGTTAAATATGAGCCATGCCATATAACAATGATAGCAATCATATCACATCTATACAGGGTTAGTGGTATACAATTTTTATTTACTCAGTATCAACCGATACACAAGTTCAGGTATTGAAATCGGTATTGGGAAGATCTGTACAGAGCACATGACAGGGCTGGAGGACGCCACTGAACTCACACAAACCTTTAACTGGATTGCTTTTGCAGAGAGGAAACACAAAGAGTGAAACTGTGCCAATCGCTCTACTTAACAGATAGTTATTCATAAGGAGATCTTTGGAAGTGCTATAAATAGCAGCGAGCGAATAAGGGCAGAGAGGAGAAATGAGATCATCATCACAACGCACCTAAACACAACTTACAGCACATTTTTATTTTCAAAACAGATTTTTATCAACCTTGTTAAGGCTTATTGAAAATTTAAGCACTATACAGTAAGTTCTAGAAAAGTTTTGATTTAAAAGGCAATGTACAATAGCTTCCCAAACTTCATGACCTGTCCCTTCAAGAGCCTGCAAGGCAGAGATGAGGGTTGTTATTTCAGCTAAAGTCAGTCAGGTAGTTGTCTCTCTCTCCTGACTCGCACTGTTTGTCTGGCTACAGCCGGTTTCTCTTTCTGCAACATACAACACCTCCACAGCACACCTGCCACTCATTCATACCACAGCCACCACTGGTTTTGCAGCCATTGCTTCACTGGAAATAAACCTTTCAGTTATAATTCATGTGATTTTCCCTGTTCATCCTTTCTGGAACAGATTGCCTAAAGGTGTTCGCTGATGTAAAGCCATAGTTTAGGGTGTTTTTGTGTTTGTTTCCTACCTGTGTTGTAGAAGAGGGTGGCAATGAAGGTGCAGTTCTTGAAGAAGGTGTTGCTGGAGGTGATGTCCTCAAAGTAACACTCCTCAAACAGCGAGTCCTCAAACACCATAGACCTCATTCTCAGGTTCATAAACCTGCAGGCAATTACAGGCAGGGATGAAGGAATTAAGACAATAAGGTAATGAATAGAAGGCAAAAGAAGGGTGATGCAAAGAGACAGAGAGAGAAGTCTTTCATCACAGGGGTTGAAACCATTAGGCTGTCAGATATTCTATTACCATATTGTTGTTTGAATTTTAACAATGCAAATCACATGCGGAGTTCAGGTTGAAAAGGCAAGGTCAAAGGAAACATCAAAGACGGGCTCGTTAAACATGAGCAACTCTGCAGGGCTTTCATCCAATCAAAGCAAAGCAATGTTCAGAATAAAATATTTTGAAGCCTAATTCATATTTTCATCTGATTTGTTGTCATGCATCACAAAGTACTTAGACTGTGTGAATAAATTCATCCATTATGTATTGGAGATGTGGAAAATTGCCAACATCCTTGGAGTAAAAGGCACCTGGCCATCATGTGACTTAACACAAAATGAGTTTGCCCTCATTCGACAGGCCAGCACTAACGAGGGGACGCAGCTGACTCACTTGTCATTGAAGTACTCTCCCTGGCGGTGGACCTGGTTTTCCAGGGTGAAGTTAAAGGTGACATGTTCTACTTTCTCCTTGACGAAAACCTTGGTGCGGGAAGAGTACTCCTGCTTCTGCAGGTACTTGATCATATCGGGGAACCACACTGTCAGACCGTAGTAGCTGGAGGATGAAGAGGAAGAGGAGGAAGAGAGAGAAATAGAGACAGTGAGAGTGCTGCTGTGGAAAAAGACAAAGCTAAGACTAATTGGCCCAGAGAGAAAAGATGATGTCTCTGTTGAAGAAGCACATCAGCAGTGTTACTGTGTACTTGAATATTCCAGAGACTGTAGCCTATATCTCCGGCCTAATCACCACACTCTTCAGTGCTAGTTGTAACCTATATATGTTGGCGCCTTAGGGATTCACGATTATTACGTGGCAGATGAATCCAAGAAATAATATTATGTCTTTGCTTTAACAAAGTGTCGTATCAAGCTGAAAATGTCTTCGAGACGTTTTCAGTGGTGGAGTAACTAAGTACATGTAGGGTAAGTAGAGGCAACCAAGTAGTTTAATTAAGAACAAATTTGAAGTACCGTACTTTTTTATTTTACACTTCAACTCCCTCATCACACAGCCATAGTTACTAGTTACTGCAGCTTACGTAAAAACGTAACATCTGACGGACATATGACTATATGTACAATAGCTGAAAATTATACATGATGGATTACATAACCAAGAGTATAAAAAGTGATTAAGCTTAGCTCCACCTCAACCTGCTATATCATTACAGTGCTAGTTATACACGAATGGATCACTATTGAGAATCAATGCTCTTGTATGTAACTTGTAAGTAAGCTGCAATATGATCCATCCAAACCCTGCAGTGGTGCATCATTACTCAAACTGACCCTACCTGAAGGACATAGAGAACCACACAGCCATCATCATGTAGGTGGTGCGGCGGTACTCAGGAGAGAAAACAGCCTGGAAATTATGCCACACCTGGAGAAACACACACAGACAGACACACGTGCACAGAAACAGAAGGGAAACAGAAAGAGAGAATAAATAATGAATATATAGTACATAAAGATAAAAAGTAAACCTACAACACAGTTTCTCTTCATCGGCTGCAAGATATAAACACCATGTCCCAGAATCCCTCTCCCGGCATAGAGTAAACAAACAGAGGCAGCCGCGGCGGCACACACACGTCCAGGCACTGAATACACACCCTCCACAAAGACAAAAGATGTATCACATAAACAGAACCTGAGAGGAAAAGAGTCTCAGTTCAGTTCACACTACAGTTTATTTCATGTTGATTATAAAAAAAAGGAGGAATAAACTCATTCTGTCTCTTGCTCAGTTGAATAAAAATATCAGTACCACTCTCATAAAGCTAGAGGCAGTAGACTGTTAGCTCAGTTTAGCATTAAGACAGGAAACAGTTAGCCTAGCTCTGTTCAAATTCAAAACTATGGCCACCAAAGTTAAATAATTAATATTTGGTTTCATGTTTGTTTAATCCGTACACATACAGAACAGTAAAAACGAGAAGCTGAGGTTTTAAGGCGAGTTTACTGCACATGCTGGCACTCGCCGCGGTCGCAACAACCCGCAGCTGAACACACGATGTTCACCTACACTTAACTACAGTTGATACTTACACTAGTTTTAAACTCAATTTATGTTATAACATGTAGATATCATCCTTCACATGTTAACTACTAACACACACAGGCTGAATACACTGTAAATACCATGCACATACTGCACCTCACACCACCTGTTTCCTATTGGTTGACTTGTATAAAGACATTGTACATTGTGTCCATTGTAGTAGCTTTTCCCCGACTGGACTGTACATAATAGTCATATGTTTATGTTTATCTATCTTCGCTCAGCTTTGTGTATCTCACTGGTATTTTTACTTTATATCATTGGTATTTTTGGACAGAGCCAGGAAAATCGTGATTCAGTGTTTTTGCTGAGCTCATCATCTCCTGGCTCTTCTTTTGAATTTCCCATACAGACACGAGAATGGTATTGATTTTCTAATCTAAGTTTCCGCAAGAATTTTAAATGAGTTAGGTGTATTTCTCAAAATGTTGAATTATTCCTTTAAGATAGCTACTGTGTGAAACAGACTGCAGTCGAATGTGACATAGTTCTCGTTTATCTTTGGCAGAACTGAAATCTATATGAGCTGGATTCCATTGTAAAGAAAACATGCAGCTTTGCTCATATCCACAGAGGTTCAGTCCTGATTCAGTGCATCATTTCTCTGATTCCTCTGAACAGTTACTATTCTGAAATAAGAATCAGTGAACTAACAAACAAACTCCAGGGTTTGTCACCTGATGGAAAAGCGCAGAGAGCTTTAGCCTCCATTTCTCATGCCAGGCGGTGTTATCGCCCATGTTCATCAGTTCATCCAACTGCTTCACTGTTTTGATGGTGGTCACCTGGAACAGCACAATCATCAGATTTTGATTTCATTTCTACAGTGCTTTGTAAATGCATTTATCAGACGAGTTTTCACAATATTTATTGAGATCCAAATTATGGATAAAGGCATTAAAAAAATCTTTGCTTTGAAATATTACAGATGATCAGTATAATTATATACTGATTATATTATAATACTTGTATTGTCATCCATTTATATTATTCAAATTAATATATAAATCAACTGTGACAAATGAGCTCACATAAAATCCTGAGACAGTAAAAAGGCTCCATCACATTTCAGAATGATGATGAGAGGCACCTGATCTTTCTCACCACTCACATTATGATATAAAACAAGGCCAGCTATGACATGTCATTTTATTACTTAATGTAGTTGTGTAATGTAGAGGTTGTTAAGTATTTCTATGTCACTGTGTTTCATTGAAGTATTAAAAGCTGTTACAGTAGTAATCAGTAGTACAGGAACACCAAGAAAATCTGTTTTAACTTATTAATATGTAAATTTATGCAGCACAGAGCTCAGAACCTGCTGCACTGCTGCATGAGCCTACAGACATCCACACGTGCACTGAGTGGAGACATTTTTTTCCTGCATACAGACGACGGTACGTGATTGTGAGGCTGTGACTTACGGAGAAAACCCTCTCTGGGTAACCTTTGGCCCTCATGTTGGTGTCGTGGACCTGCTTCAGAATCATCCATGCCTCATCGTGTTTCCCATTCTGCAGGATAAAAACAAGAAGAAAGCAGACGTGACGGACTGACATGTTCATGGGGACACATGTTTTAAACCCACTTGCAAATTAAAGGTCCCATATTTTACACTTTTGCAGGGTTTTATTTGAAGTTTTGGTATCTATAAGAAGATATATTTGTGGTTTTAAGTACCAAAAACCATCTCAATGTAGTTTTACTTCTCTTCCCCCAATTGGAAGAGAGGCTCTGAACCCCTCTTCTGATTGGCTGACTGTTTTCTGAGCAATCAATATGAATTGTCTTAAAAGTTTTGTGTTTTATCTTATCTACTTTGTAATGTGGCGCTATTCAAAATGCAACTTCAGGTGATTTCAGCACCTTACTGTTTAGCCTGCTCCAGGATTTATATATGTACATATTTATTTATTCATTCAAAATATTCTGGAAAAGCCTGTGAACAGCACTTTGTCTACAGCACTGTGTCTTCCACTTTGCAAATGCACTCAGGTCTTTTTTTTTCAAGGCTGCTTATGCATTCAAGAAGTTAAAAATGTATTCAAATAATATTTCCACGAAGTCTGAGTGCGGCGAGAGAGCTGACAGGCTGACCTCCAGGTAGAAGCGGGGGCTCTCAGGCATGGTGGTGAGGGCAGAGATGGCCGCCACAGAGGGGAAGGCACACACCAGCACAAAGACGCGCCAGCTGTGGAACTGGTAGGCCGAGCCCATCTGGAAGCTCCAGCCTACACAAGGAGAAAGAAAGAAGGGAGGTGTCAGAGAAAGCAAGAGCAATGAGGCAGCTGCAAGATTTGAATGATGCACACAAGAAGCTTCCTCTATATTCACACTGTTATGCTCGGTTTGTTTGCATTTATTCCATTGTCAGAGGCTGCATTGCAGTGATTTGTCAGCTTTGATCCATTTTGCCTGTCCACGCTGCTCTCCTGTTCATTTTTCTGCAATATTCTCCTTTCATTCTGCCACTTGTGTGAAGAGAAATATCTGTAAGGTTGAAATCAATTTAGTTGAGCTGTACAGTTTCATGTCAAGATTGTGGGCAGGTTCTTGACACAAAAAGGAAGTTAATGAAACGGATCATGCACCCAATTTAAAATATTCAGGACATTTTCGGCCTCAGTTGGTCTTTGCAGAGGCGAGTGAATTTTTACACATAATTCATTGTCACACTCATGACAAGTGAAACTACTACATCAACTGATGAGATGTGAAATCCAGTAAGTGGACCTTGAGTTAAGATTTCTTTTTGTCAACCTACAATTTCTAAAATTAAAAAGTAACTATGATGGCAGCTTGTGTAGATTGTTTTAACAGTCATTCATTAACTGAATGAGTTATTTAGGTGTTAGGAAGTTAGAATAATTGATAAATGTATTAATACACACTTAAATGACATTTTAAGTGATAGACACGTTCTGTTTGAGTGCAAAGACATGCAGGTTTAGGTTCATTGGTAAACTAAAAGGATAAGCGGAATGGCTAACGAATGAATGAAGAGTAAAACTAAGATTATATACAGTATGTACAATCATGCATCTAGAAAAGCTAACTGCACAACGGTTCTTATTGTTGTTGTGCAGGTGTAATTTGAAGACAATGATGCCAAAGCCCTGCAGAAACTTTCCTTCATTCTTGTCTCTTGTATTGCTGGTGAAAACGTTCTGTCTGGTGTGCTCAGAGATTCCTCTCACAAAGCAAGAGCTGCAATTTACCTGAAATGTTGTACAACAGTCACTTCTGTGGTCTACTGTAGGCTGAGAGAGTGAAACCACCGATCAGATTAACCCTGATTATACCTAACAATGTTAAGGTAGCCGCTGGTGACCGGAGTAAATAAAATAAAATTTCATTGACACTCATTTTTCAACCCACTCAAACTCCCCACAGTGATGCATCAAATGGAAACAACCACGGCATCTTCTCGTCACATTTTATAGATGGAAACTGAAGCCCATGACAGGCTGTTCAGCTAACCGACCAACATGCTGATTACCAGGCACACATGTTGTCTTTGATAATGATCGTCTGACTGAGTGATCTAACTGTGCGTTTGTTTTTCTCACCATAATGTGGGATGATGGCCCAGGCCATGGCGGAGGCGTAGATACCACCGATCATCCAGAACATGCAGAGCCAGCTCAGATGCTCTCCTCGCTTCTCCTGGGCCAGGAACTCAGAGTAATAGGAAAACACAATGGGGATGGAGCCACCAATGCTGTGGAGCAAGGGGGGGGGATTAAAAAAAGAACAAATAAAGGGATCCCCATGGAGGAGAAGCAAGTGGTGGAGGAGATAAAAGAGAGGAGAAGGAACAAAGAATGAAGCAAGAAAGAAGACAATGGTCAAAGAAAATAAATGAGGTAATGTTGTGAAGAAAGAAAAGAGTGGAAAGAGGGAGGAAAAGGGAGAGAGCAAAGAAAACAGGTTAAAAGTAAAAGTGAAGATTAAAGTCTTAAAAGCCGTCAGTGATGGCCCCGCTGATTGCAGTCGACAGCACCATCTTTATGGCCTCTGCACATGTTCCATTACAACAATTTACAATCTGATGGGACCTCTGCAGTTCCACAGCAGTGCTTATTGTTAATGAAATGACTAATTTGGAAAAGGCAAAAGTTCACCACGCTGCAACTGGCAGTGGCATCCATTACGAGTAGGACACTATGCTCATTTCACCGGAAACTGACAGTGTCACAGTCTGCAGAGTCTTTTAAACTGAGGAAGGCAGGGTGAGAATAAGAGTCAAAGCTGTTTTGCTCAGATCTCGGCTGCTGTATTTATATTAAACATTATTGAGGAGAAATTCTAACAACACTGTTAGATTTCACTGTCACTGACACTGATGCTCCTCAGGAGAAACAAGAGTCGTAAACAGGTGGATAGGATTGTCTGCATTCGGTCATAAACCAAGTCAAAGTTATTATAATTCATCCCGTGGGGAACATGAATGTCTGCACCAAATTGTTTTGGATCCACTGAATTGTCAAGACATTTTCCTCTGAAGCAAATGCGTCAACTTGCTGATGGGTGCTAGATATCACAATCCATCGTCTGGGAACCATGACTGTCTGTGTAAAACTGCACAAACTGCATGTCAAAATATTTCAATGGAGAAATAAAGTCAGTTTTGATCGCCAAAATCTGGCATCCCCTCCTATATATATATATATATATATATATATATATATTATATATATTTGTTAAGATAATTCAGTCTGGACCAAAGTGGTCGACCCACTGAACAGCTGACCCATGATGACCTCAGTAGAACTATGCCACTAAAAGAGACACTGGTTCAGAATGAATGGGCTGAATGCAGGAAACAGGGTTACAGCACCAGTTTTCACCTGCCTTGACTCATTTTTCTACAAAAAAAATAAACTTGCACTTTGAACTATAATCAGAGGTAAGCAGGTGATCTATTTTTATTCCTTGGTATAACCAGTAAAACCTAAACAACATGATGCCATATAGAATTTTTATTGGAGCTAAAGCTAGATATGCTAATATTTACCTTCTGTATCTAAAACATCTTAAAGGTCATGTTTTACAGTCAGATCCAGAGCTGCTTTTTTCACTGACAGCTTCCAGCATTCAGCAACACGGGCAGAAACAGCTTAAGAGACCAGACTGCAAAGAAGCCACAAACTATTAATTTCATATAAGTGTGACAGTAGCTGCATTTATGTGACTTTAAACCCAACTTCAATCAAAAACTGCTCGTTCAGGATCATTTTGTAGGGGTTGTTAACTTAAGGTTATGGAATTACTACCTTGTACAACAAGACAAATCTGTTACAGGGAGTCGGAGTCAGGAACACCGAAAAGCACATTCTAACACTTCATTGCGAAATATCTTGTGAAATGCAGTAAACATCACAGGCGTCCAACAGTATTTCAACACAGCACTGTATTTTTATTTGTACTCTAACATGTGGCTTTGCTCTGCTTGCCAAGTTAACTGATGTACCACGGTGGTCGTGACTGTCTCGTTTTCCAGCTCTGGCTGCTGCTGTGCCTGTGTGACTCATCTGTCTCCTTACCCCACGCCAGAGAGCAGGCGGCAGAAGAGGAAAGAGCTGTATCCCTGGACGAAGGACGAGAAGAAGGCGAACACGCTGTTGATGGAGAGGGAGATGAGGAGGGTCTGCCGTCGGCCAATCCGATCAGCCAGGCCGCCCCATACAAACGCCCCGACCATCATCCCCAGGTAAACAATCAGACCTGGAGGGAGGAGGCAGGAGGGAGAACGAGGGAGGACATGGTGATGAGTAATGGCAGGGGAAAGCGATGAGAAGAGAGGCAAAGGGCACGATAATGAGTTATCATTCATCAGTAAACACATTGATATTACTTCCAGCCCTCACGACCACTCTCATTAGATTTCCATTGCCTAGAAAATTAGCTCATTCGGCAGCCTCATTGGACTAATGAAGTATTTTGCATAAAGCACAGAGACGGTAGAGCATAATAATCTGAACTGTGTACTACCACAGATCAGGGTCAACATTATAATAATAACCTGTACAGCACTTCTACAACACACTTAACATAAGAAAGAAACACAGAAAGAAGAAGAAATCATCTGGACGGCACAACGAAAAAAAAAAAGTTTGATCCATGAAGACGTCTGAAATTAAACGAATGAGGTAGCAAGGCAGATTTAAACAGGGGTGGATCCAGAGTTTGTGTGTCCTGACAGCAAAAGCACAATCATGGATTTAAGCTACAGGCGAATGGTAGTATAATTTTGTTACAAGTTCTAAGGTTGACTGCTCATACTTATGTGCAAAACAAATGCTGGAGGCGCACCAAGGAGTGCTTTAAAAGTAGTTCATCTTCAAGCAGGTGCAACAACTATTATTTTAATGGCAATTTATCAAATGTGATAATGTGAAAGGGTTCGCCGTTGGTGATGAACCTACAGAGAATTATCACCCAAAATCTGCAGCTCCTCTCAGTTTCAGCTGGCCAGCCCACAGCTTTATTGTTTTGGTTCAGTCTTACTGCATTGACACAGTTAGCTACTTCCACATGAATGCTTCTGATGCTCAATAACTGCTGCATGAGTAAATGCAACTGTTTGTTCACCACATCAACTTAAAATGCTCAAAAACATTGAACAAGCACATTTTCCCAAATGTTAAACTTTTCCTTCAGCATAACCATTAAAAGTGAGATAAGAACCAAAAACACCTCCAGCATCTTCTTCAGTTTCTTCTCTGCATCAGGAAGTTGCCGCCAGGGAGCAGACAGGCCGCTAACAGAAACAAACACCACCTTTGTCAACCCGGTCTTGTGATCTGAGGTGTTAACATGACTCACATCTAATGCACTTATCCAAACGAGCCTCCCTCTGTCTGTCTCTCTACCTCTGCTGCAATGATGTTGCTCCGACACACACACACACACCAGTTACTCGCAATCCCTTATTGACATCCTGTCAACAGTCGTCACGCTGCCTGAGCCTGCAGTGACACAAGTTATTGGTGAGGCCTCTCTGAATGAATAAGGAGGACAGGGCCGGTGTTCGGTGCCTGGGCTTGACGTCCATGTTTAAATCTTATTGTCACTTTTCAGAATGTAAAAAGCTAGAAATCCTACATCTATGATATACTCTTTTTATTACATGGGCAAACGAAACCCAGCGTGTCCAGCATGAAGACACGTATCTGTGATGAACCCTTCAGCTTTGGCAAATACTCCATTCTGATTGGACAAACAACAGTCCTTTTTCACAGCTGATTACACTGTATCACAGTCAAGACATCAGGTCAATACCATTGATTTGAAAGCATTTTAAGTGACAGCGTCATCAATGAAACAATACTACCTCATTACTACAGGCAAAGACATGGCTAATCAATTGACGAAACAATCTCGACTCAAGGTCCACTTGTTCCAGAGCTTTTAACCGTACCTACGTTGAGCTCAGATTGCTTTATAATGGTGAACGTTGAACTCAACTTTGAAGCGACTATGGATGAAAGTCCAGAAAGTGTTTAGAATAAAACGTTCCATGATAATGATGATACAACCCTATGGTAAAACAAGAACACTATTGGACAATAATGCAAAACACCAGATTATATTCAGCGATAAAGGCTTTTTACATCTGATGCTAATTTTTTTTTTTTTTTAATTCTGGCTTTCAACAACATCTGCAACACTGTCCTTCGACAGCATCAGTCATTTCAGCGAGCGCTCCGAAACAACATGTGTTCACTTTCAAAGCCTCTGACAAAACATCCGGTCAGACTTTTGTATGAGAGAGCTGAAAGTCAACATTGTTCCTTTGTCAAAACTGCAACTACAAACGTTCCCTAACTTTAACCACATAGTTAGTATTGTAACCATGACAACCTTAACAAAATAGCCATTTTAAGTCAAACCATGATCTTTCCCTAAACAAGTTGCTTTTGTGCCTAAACCTTACCAAACCAAACCACATCATAAAACTGACTTTCTGCCTTGCTAAATAAAGAGATCACTACTTCCATTAATCATGATGTACATCCAGTGCCAATCCATGTCAATTGAAACTGGATGCACATCATTCAACATGGAAATAATTTCAAGGATAAAGACCATGTGATACAGTCAAAAGCTGAGTTAGCGGACCTTGAGTTGAGATTTTTTTTTGGCCGAGAGTTAAAAGTTTGTGTGGTGGTTAGAAGCTGATTAGTTATTAGATTTTATGGTGGGTTTACCATTGAGAAGGCAAACCTGAAGCAGATAATTACATTTCATGATCCTCATTTCACCTTTAATGGCCAAAGTGTCTGATGTAATAAGTGTGCAGCGGCTGCAATATGCTTCATTCTGCGTGTCACAGCTTATTTTGATGTTATAATGACCAGCCGACTGTACTCTGCTCTTTACCTCAAAGTGCCAACACTAAGTAGCAGAAATGAGGGCTCAAACTGCGCCTCCACCCAATGGTAACCACGGCACAACAGCTGATAGTGTTTGCTGGCTTCGTATTGTGAGTCAGACAGATAAGTCATCATGGAGTCAAACAGAAGAAGAAGCCCACACAGGCTTTAAACAGGTCTGTTGGATCAGCTAAGATAATTCATCACACAGTCCAACAAGCTCCTGTAACAGCTGAGGTGATGAAGCTGGACGCACAGTTGGCCACAGCTGGAATTATACAGTATTGATGAGGGAGAAAAAGCCAAGGTAAGAGATGAGGATGGATGTTGGAATAATATGAGGAGGGGTGTCCTTTTCTTTTAGGTGAAAACACCTTTGTGGGCATTGATTAAATTGTGTGTGTGTGTGTGTGTGTGTGTGTGTGTGTGTGTGTGTGTGTGTGTGTGTGTGTGTGTGTGTGCTGTCTCTCCTCTCTTTCTGTTTGTCTGCAGAGCTGAATTGGGGAAGAAAGTGACTTTCACTCCCTTGTTTGACTGATTGCAGTTGATTCTTTGTGTGCACATGTTTCCATGACCCCAGGTGTGTGCGTTTGTGTGTTTGCATATCATAGAAAGTGTGTGTGTGTATATAGTCCCTCATCTGCATGTGTTTGTGTTCATATCCCCATGTTCTTGTGTACTGTAAGTGCGTGGGTGTTGTGTGTGTGTGTGTGTGTGTGTGTGTGTGTGTGTGTGTGTGTGTGTGTGTGTGTGTGTGTGTGTGTGTGTTTGCTTGTGTATGTGTTCCACTCTGGCAGGGCAGAGAGACAGCTGCAAGCCGCTTCTCCTGACAATACAGCTCACAGCGGCAACATTGAGCCAGCGATGATGACTGGGCTCAATGGCCGTCGCCGCAATGCAGCAGCATCGACGTAAACGGACAGACGGACAGACAACCACAGTGACCAGGATGGGTCATACAGTAAGTATCTCCCCTCAAACCCCTATAAAGCTTCAGGCTGGCAGTCTGACTGCTGTGCTGACCCGTCACCCTTTAAGCACTGTAACTGGATCATTGTCTCTCCCTCTCTGTCTCCCTCTGTCATCACATTTGTCTGTTCTCAGACTCAGGGCAAAGTAATTGATTATGAGTCTAACAAAGCTTGACTGAAAGCCAAATCCTGCTGTCATCAGTATTCAAAGGTACAGCAGTTTTCTGATTTTGCAGTTTGGCAACTAAATAACAGAAATTAGGAAAATTACAGAGATTAAGTGATAAACGACTGACTGTGAGAATTAAGCTTCTTTCAATTGCAGTAATTTGACCGAAAATTATAAAGTTTATCTCAATAGAAAAAGAGGAATATTGCACTGAAAACTTTGCACAGATTTCCTTTTCTGCCACATAATGGACCCTCTTGAGGAACAAAGCACCTCTGAAACACATTTGTATTTTTGATTCTCTCACACGGCATCATTTCCAGCCACAGCATGGCAGCTGTTTTCTGCAATTAAAAAAAACACTATACACAACCTGCCTAGCAACAGCACCAACAGACATGCAAAGTTAGCAACTAGCTGGTGAACATAATGGAGCATTTGGCAGCTAAAGATCCAGAAAGTTTCCTCGGGTGTAGGTGGAGACCAAAAACAGAGCTAAAAGGAGAAAGAATATTGGACTTAACATTCATCAGGTGTCCAAAAACACGACTCCAAACGAATGATAATGTTCTGTATCTGCTGGATGTGTGAATAAGTAACGTTTTGCTAACAACCATATCTATTGAATGTGATGTTTTCACAACTGGTTTCTGCCCCCAAAGTGGCTAAAAGTTATTGTTATTATAAAGTAATCAGTTATTGCAGGTTTACATCAGTTGAAACAGCAACTTGAGGCTCCATGGTCTGGTCCTGGTGTTGCCTGATGGGAAGCTGGTGAGGGATCCTTGTACTGGATGTTGTTTATTTCAACTACACAGACAATCTTACATGATGGATTTTATTTCAGTTAAATAATTTTCCTATTGGTTTGGTCGTAATGTTGTTTTTTCTGGCTTTTGTTATGAGATGTTTCTTACGTCCCTGGAGCTTTTATTGCCCTTACTCTCACTTCCATTGAGTTGCTAAACCGAGCAGTCAGTTGAAGGGCATGTACAACATCACAACCAGCTCCTGTTTTCTCTTCCATTCTTTAATAACTCTCTCATGATGTGCAATATTATGAGATACTGTAAAAGCTTTTTCTTTTTTTCAGAAACGCAGCTGAAACAAAATCAGAGTTGTACAGAAAGACAGATGTGCAGAGAGGAGAGGTAGAGTCTCCAGAAATCTGGGCACTTCAGCACAGTGAAGAGGAAGTAGGGGGAGGGGAGGATGGAGAGCGAGGAAGACAGAGAGAGAGAGAGAGAGAGAGAGAGAGAGAAATGAAAGAGAAGGAGGAAGGGGAGGGGAGGACGGTGGTCAGTCTGCGCTGTGACACAACTCCCAAAGGCTCCAGGGTAGTGTATGTGGGTGTGTGTGTGTATAAATGTTTGGTTGAACAGGGAAAGAAAAAGTGTGTACCACTGCATGGTTGTGTGTCTGTGTACATGGATGGGGGAGGGGGGGGGCAGGGCAGGGAGCCACTATTAATAGCCGGTTTTCCCCTTTCTGCCAGAGTGCACAGGGCTTTTTGAATGAGCCGGGGAGCTGAGGCTCTTCAGCACCGGAGGAGAAAGTAGTTTCTCATCAGTCCTTGCTGCTAACCACTGAAAGCTGAAAAAAAGATATAATTGCTCTCAAGCAGCAGTTCACCCTGTGACAGCGAGCGCCGTGATGTGAATGCAGGTTTTCACTCCAAACAAAGACCACAGCGGCGGCTTATCACACCTTCAAAGGGTGGAAATAACTCGTGAAATAAATCGTTTGGTTGAGTTGTTACCTGCATACATATTGCTCTATTCGGCACATGAACACCATCACACAATCTCTGTAACATTGTTCATTTAAATGCATATATTACAGGGGTGCTTATTGGTTGCATGCAGTAGATGATGTAGGACTGTATTCTATTAACAGGTGTTATTATTTTCTCTGGAGAATAACAGCTAAAATAAAGGGTGCAGTTGATTTATTTTTTTGCAGCATAATTTCATAAAATCTCGATCAAACAAAATTAGGTACTATAAAATGTAATAATAAGAGGGCCATTTAAGTCAGAGCTATCAAAACATTTCTGCCAACAAAGTGAAAAAATTAAACCGTCTGTGGCTTGATGGCTTGCATATTTATTTTCAGGTGCTAGCTGAATATTAATGTGCTAGAATAATTCATTTCTGACACTCACTACCACTACCAAAAATTCAAGTGCTAAAAATAGTTAATTATCACCTTCAGGCTGCAGCATCCAACCTGGTTTGCCTGTATCGTCTGCCAGCATCTCCCACAGGAGTCATTTCTCCCATCTTTTCTTCATCCCTTCTCTCTCCCTTCATCCTTAATCTCAGTTCTCAGTTGATTTTATGTTAATCAAAAGGCCAAAGACACATTATGATATGCAAAGGTTCCTTTTAGCCTCAGGAAAAGTTGTGCAATAGCTTCGGATCAGATAAATTAGAAGAGGAAATGCATGTAGCAAGGGCTCAAACTCCTCAAGAATACAGTATCGCTGGAAATGCATTGAACGCTCAACAGTGTGAAATCTCCTTGTCATTAGAAGTAATTATGTTTTTCCAGAAATCTGGCAGAGCCGCAGCATGCAACAAACCTCTGTTTTAGCTTCTCATAGCAGCTACATTTTAGTTGCAACCTCTGCAGCTTCGCAACAAGGGCAAATCAATGACAACCGCTCTGCGCTTCTCTGCTGCCTGTGAAAGCGTCTACTTTAGCTCATCGTGCAAAACCACTGTACCACAGGCATCGGCTTTGGCATTTAAAGCCTCACTATGCCATTCATTTCCTTACTTCATTTGAAATGTTTGACTTGCTGGAAACACGAGATCCATGCTATGCTAGCAATGTCTATAGAGTTCATGATAATTTTGCCAAAACTGCAGAGGATAACTGTTTTTGGATGGAGGTGTTATTACCAGTGATATGTTTCTGCTTCTGAATTCCTCCCTCTGGGTACATCTGAATGACGAGGGTTGATATTCTGCAGGCGGTTGCAGGTGACGTGTGCAGACTGTCACACTGTCACCCACTTCACATTTAGTAAATGAAAAACGCACCAGTCTGCCACAGTGCGTCAGGTTTAAGTGGCTGGCACTATGTCGGCAAAGTAAGCTCCATTTGGTCTGTGTTGAGAAGAAAAGGGTGAGAGTGGGGGATGGGGTGTGGAAAAGGACACTGGGAATCATGGGACGCAGAGAGGCATGAGCAAAGGAGGCTCTCTAGCATGAGTCAGGCGTGTTGCGTAACAGTGAGAGAGGGGAGGGAATCGGGGCTGGTCGTGTCTCCCTACTGGCTCCACACTGGCATGACACGGGATCAGAGATGAAGTAATAAAAGTATATTTACTCAAAAGTTGAGTATAGTTTGAGGTATATGTATTGTGTCTCAGTATTTGTAAGACTTTGTACTTCACACTAGACCCCAGAGGGAAATACTGTACTTCTTACTCCATCATTTAATCTCCAATCCTTTCCTCTGTCCTTTTCCCTTCAGTATTTTTCCATGTATTTCACAAATTTTCCTTCTTTCCTTATTTTTCCTTCCCTTCCTCACTACTTTGCTCCACATTTTTTCACCACACCAGTATAGTCATCCTCTTGAAATCACCCAAAAACTCACTGAGCAGCAGACAGTTGTACTTATCAAAGGTTTACATTTGTACTGCAACTACAATCTGAGGTGATGACAATAGATAAGGTCACGCAGAGGCCACTGTTAGCGTATGTGTTATTCAACTATATCCATTCAAGCCAGAGCTAGAGTTGAATTCATGGTGTTCAATACACAGGCATCCCATTCTGCAGGAGAACAGGGTTCATCAATGTGGCGGCAGCACAATGTGAGTGTTTGTGTTACTACTATTTGGATTCAGCTCGACAGAACTTTTGTTTTCCTTCATTTTGATTTGAGTTTGATTTTTCGGATTCAATAATGCGGATTCCGCAACATTCCTAGTTCAGAAAACTGCATTTTGAGTTTAACTATATAAATCTACTTTAAACCAGTGGTATTTATCCATTTTTATTCATTTGTATTAACCAGTTTTGTGGCTCTATATTGTTGGATTTCGCATATCAGTTAGTGAGATGTACCTCTGTATTGTCTCTTTCAACAAGCTGCAGAGAATGTGTACAAAATGTTTTACATCAGTACTTGACATCTATTTACATTCTTGATATCTAAGTTCTTTACATAAAATAAAGCATGTGTTTGAATTTGTGATCCTGAGGAGACCTCTGGGCCTCGTTCACAGTGTCCTTGTAGGGCAGCTAATGACAGATGGCAAGGCAGGTTTGGCCTATGATTGGACGTTGGCCCCTCCGGATAGGAAATGATCACAAGGTCTTTGCCCACTTAACAACATGCAGAAACACAGACACGCAGCATATACTGTACAATCACTTTCATACGCATCACTCGTTTTACAACCCAGTTTAGATGTAACAACGCCCACTTCTGAATGACGAAAGCCTGGACAGAATGAGCCTATTCCTAACGCTAACTCATAAGTGGACGTGTTTTAATCTAAACTGGATTGGAAAAAAATTACAAACTACCCAAACTCACACACGGTCCAGCGAGAAAACAGCTGAACTGAAACAGAGAATATTGTGTTTGGATTGGCCGGGGGTTCGATTTAAATTCCTGCTGCTGCTCAGAAGCTGCACGGGCAGTTGAATCTCAAATAGCTGTAATTTCTCTGCCAACGAGGCCACAGAAAAGCAATTACTGGGGGATAAACTGCAAAGGTAACGGCCAAGATGAGGCAGGGATAAATGGTGGCATAAACTCCCAAGGGAGGCACTGAGATGGAAATAAACAGAGAGGTCAGTAAAGACAGTGGATGGGTTAAAATAAAAGAGACTCTCACTGTATTGGTAGTCGGGAGATCTCATGTGTGTAATCCCTCCTCTCATGTGTTCAAAATGTTTTATGAATGTGTTAAAGGTATTATTTGTTATGTTTGGAAACAAGGGAGTGATCTTACCCAGCATGCCCTTGTTGGGTTCGGATAGACACATGTCCTTCTCCGCACTGGGCAGCACGAAGCCGACCACAAAGATCTCCACGCCATCTGCCATCAGCGCCAGCCCCAGGACAAAGTAGAGTGTCCACTGGAACTTCCCGTGGCCACACTCCTGCAGGATGGTCTCGTACTGCTGGGCCAGTTCCTCCTGGTCTTTCCTCCTCTCGCCCTCGTAAGCTGACAGATCCCTGAACTGCTGCGCCTGGGCGGCCGTCACGCCGTCCATGCTGCCAGCCTTGCCTGAGTCGGCCCTCGGGATGCCCTGGTACTCGCCTTCATAGATCTCATCGTCCTCATCGTGTCCTTCAGTGGAGTCGCTGTGGCCTTCATCGTCATTGGCCCGGCTGTCGTTGCGGTAATATCCATCGTCGTTGCTTGGCACACCAGCGTAGTCTTCATCGTCTTCCTCCTCGAAACGCTTATAGGAGCGCTTGGTGTACTCATCGGTCATTTTGTCCATGCCGCGCCCCACCTTCTTGCCTACCTGCTTTTTGGCCACTTTGGCGATGTCCTTGGCGCCGCGGATGAAGTCTGAGCGGTTGTCTCTGTAGCGTCCGTCGTCGTCCATCTTGGATGCGTTGAGGTGGTGGTCTGTTGCTGCTAGGAATGGGAGGTATCAGGAGCGGCCCAAGCACATGAGTGTGCAATGGGGATTTCAGTTAGCTGATGAATTCAGCACCGCGGACAGCTCCCTGCTCCACTGCACTGCTGTTGTTGGGCTTCGGCCACCGTTCTCTCAAATAGCAAATCCTGGGGGAAAGCAAAGAAAAGGGCCTCTGTTGGCATGATTCATTACACTGGCAGCACAGTGCAGGTAAGGAGGAAACATCCATTATAAGCCCATTTTTAAACAGACTAGATCAGAGCCAATTAATAGTGAAACATTAAAGGACCATTGGCATTCACACAGCGTTGGCGTTATCTGGCTCAGCACTAATGGCTGGGAAAAGAAGGACATGACAGCTTTAAGGAGCGGACATCTGCGTGCAGGAGCCCAGTGGCCTATATTGACTGAATCGCAGTTATCTCATAGCTCTCTCCTCAGCCTAGCACAAGTCACAGAGTGGCATTTACAGCAGTGCACAGCAGAGCCAATATATAATGACCATGCTGCGACACAGACATCTATAATTAACAAGCGGGGCTGCAATGTGGTGCGATTCAGGGCAGTGTATATAAAAGGTGAAAGGCTGCTAGGGATGGATTAATGATCCCACTGAGCATACTCATGATTACAATCTGTGAACTTGACCAATGTTAAAACCTGATATGTGCTGCTGGGAAGTCAGAACATAATGGTACTTTATGTAAACTGAACAGTGACATTCGTGAAACATTTAAAAGATCTGTCCAAATCTATAAGATCACTAACTGTATTGAAAACTAGTCTTGTACTATTTTCATTGATCTATAGTTTAATTTAGCTTCGCTCCTTCTGCTTTTCTATCCTGTGTCATCCTTTCTCATGCAACTGCCACCACCACCATTTCAAAAGCCCTGTCTCCATTTCCTACATCCCTCCAATCATATATACTGTAGCTCTCATCACGTAGAGAGGAGAGCAGGAAAGTGCAGGACAGAACACAAAAAAAAAGGGCAATCATGAATCCATCAGCGGGTCACCCCGCTCTTTCCTCTGACACCTCTGTCGCTGTGATGCTGCCCCTGTTTGTCTCACTGATGGGGACCTGCTGCGCTGAGGAAAAGCTCAACAAACGGCCAAAACAAACTCTGCAGGGGGAACGTCATTACCATATGTGTTTCAGTGAGCATCTGACATGCTTGGAATTGTGGATATTATAGCTTTTATACACTACATCATCTACACATGAATAGTAATAATCATCTGCTTAATACTCCCCAAAAACTATGTTCACCTGGAAGTCATTCTGGGAAATACTCGTTTGCTCTCTTGCCAAGGGTTAGCTGAGACGAAGAATACCACCCGCATTTCTTTTCAATAAATATAAAGCAACAGCCAGCAGCTAGCAGTTAGCTTAGTTTAGCATAAAGACAGGAAACAGAGGGAAATAAAATCTGCCTCGCAGCACCTCCTGAGATCATTATTCAACACAGTGCATCTCTTTATTTAATTATTGCACAAACAGAAATGTAAAAACTGCAATGTGGGGGTTTCAAGTCTTTATATCTTCAAACTGTGGGAGTGGTATAAATCTTCTCATCTAACGCTAACTCTATTTCCCAAAATGTCAAACTATTCCTTTAAAATCAATGAAAAAATGATGACAAATGTCCCAGTTTTTACAAACACTATCTCCAGACATTATTTTGAGGAATATGATTAGATTTTTCTGCAAAACCTTTTTTTATTTGACAGAATGAGCTCAACCTTCAAGGTTTAATGCATTGTCTACATAAAATACAATCTCAGATCAGCCGAATATCTTTAAATCAGGAACTATCTGATTAAAGAGTAAGTAAACAATCAGTGTACATCTCATGCCAACTTTTGGTAAACGAATATTTGGATGCATTTTGAAGTGTATCCAAATGGTATTGAGGTAAATACCCAGCGCTGTACTGTAGTTGAGGATTCTCAACTAAACTTGACTCAACACCAGATGATTAAAGGGATAAAGAGAAAATCTGCTACAGAAGATTTATTTTGATTGTTTTCATAATACTGGACAAATTCACCTGTTCATGCCTCTAAAGATCATTAAAGAGTAACTTGACACCCCTAGAAAATCTTGTCATCTTGCTGCAGTGATGTATAGGTACTCCGGTGTCCCATTTCCCACGTCTACCGAAGCCCTGACCTCTGCCTGGCGTTTTTCAATGTCTCTCAGATGAGCCATTGTTTACTCCTCGTCTGCAACAATAGCAAGTCTCCAGCATGTATGTGCTCAGGAGAGCAAGCAAAGATGATGTACCCCTGGAGAGTGAGTCTGTGGGGGTCGACTGCAGCTGTGGCCAACACTGAAGTCATTCTAGTAGCTTCCCACAGTGTCTTTAAAGAGAGCAGCAGCAGCTCAGCAGGGGAGAGAGAGAAAATGTTCAGCCTGAAAGAGCCAGCCGCACCCAACAACACGACAGACACTGGTCGAATGTGCTGCAGGATACTGTCAAACCCTGACTACTGAAGTGCTGCGTTTGGTATTCATTCAAAACAAAATGGTACCACTTTTCTTTAAGTACCCCTGTTTATTTATTAGCATTATATAAACATTTAATAAATGAGTTATGAAACCCTATAATGTGGTTGTAAGGAGCTGTTATTAACTTACAGTATTTGTCAACTTCTCCTATGAAGACATATTTTATATTATAATACCAGTGTTTTACTGTCATTATCTGTTCATACACCAGTTACTCCGGTTACCAGTGCCCACAGACGGAGCTATAGTTAGCTTAGTAGCTATAGTACGTTAATAAACACATACACTGCTCATCAATACTAATAAAAGTAAAGTGTTGCTTAAAAAACACATATTTCCTTGGTATTTCATATTCTGTGGATGGAACATTACAGGGGACCTGATTGCCAAAAGGTTAGGGTGCATACCACATGGGCTCATATGCTCTGCGCAGTGAGTCCCCTCCCCTACTCTCTCTGAATTTCCTATCTGTCTCTACTGGTTCAATCAAATAAAGGCATAAAATGGCCAAAAAGAAAAAACAAATAACAAAAAATGGAAAAAACTACATCTCTCATTTTTGCAACAATATCCCCAAAAACCAGAGCTATTGAATGTTTGGTGCAGTAAGCATTACAATAATAACTTTCAGACAGTACCAGTAGCTGAGAGAACAGCCGCTCCCTCCCCTCTCCCATCACATAAAACCTTTAATTTTACGGCTATTAAAGTGAAATGAGCAGAAATGTAGAGCAAGTATTCCTACTCTCCACTGCCCGCAATAATAACAAGGGTGCTTTGCAGGATAACATCTAGTTCTTCTGAGTCATCCTCCATGTTTGCTCTGGTCCAACCCTGTCAGCTGTTTAACAGCTACCTCTCTTGTCTGTAATGTCCCACCCCAACATCCTGTTTCAGCTGGATACACATGAAATCAACCCACTATCGGGGTGTATCATAGATACAGTAAAAATAAACTCAGATCTGATATCCACGTACCTATAGTCCATGTTTAAGTGGGGAATGGTGACTGCTAGAGAGAATCACACAACTGCAACTGCGACGGACAGCTTACTGCTGCAGCACCTAACCCTAACCCAGCTCTTAACGTTAGCGTGGCACATATTCAGCTTACATTCACATTGATGAAATATGTAGAAAACATTTAAATAAAGAAAAAAAACTGTTAATTAATTCTAACATAACGCTGTTTTACAGCTTACTGTACAATAATATACTTGAATGAGCAATATGGACGTTAAATGTCTTCATTTATTTATCATTTATAGTTTCTTTATTGTTTGTATCTTTAAAATAAAATTTAGTTTCACAGACACTTTAAGCATCAGGATGTGCTACAAATGTAACGCTATCTTGTGTAAACATCCTCAAATCTAAACAAGACAGCGCTGCTAGCATTAGCCTACGTTTCACACAGTGGGGAAAAACACTGTGTTCAGTCCACAGAAATCCAAAGCGTGAGAGGCTTTCCATGCCTCGTTAGGGTTGCTAAGCTATGACTGGAAATCACTGTTTTCGAACAACTGCAGTGCACAATTTTTCTTCCTTTACCTTTTCTCTTTTCCCTCGCTGCTTATTTTCTATGTGACTGGCGTGTTATATGTCTTCAGTTTGAATTATAAACGCTTCAGTTATGCCCTTTCATGTTGTCATATTGTGAGGATAAAAGGCACTAACACACATCGAATATAATGCATGAGACAAACCACTTTATCACACTGTATGTTCATGTTTATCAAACCTTGCCAACACCATGGTATCAATATCTGCTCTGTGTGTATTGTTGTCTCCGTGTCTAGGAAGTGATCAGACTGCCCTGACAGTGGAGTTATCAATAAATCAATGAGCCATGTAATTAATATCAGGCACGTTGGTAGGGTTGGTGTTCAATTACGTTGGGTAAGCGCCAGACGAACCTTTGTGACATTATTACTATCGTCATTCCTGCTCATTAAAATGTTTCTGACCTATTTGTAAAAGTGTAACCAGCGCACAGTGATGTTATTACAGCGGGGAAGCAGCAGATGCAACAAGAAAAGAGGAGGGAGCGGTATAGCAGGCAGGAGGGAGGGAGTCTTTGAAAGCTTCCTGTGTAGCCTCTGGGGTGCTGCACAGACACACACACACACTCTACTGCCAAGCCAACATCACACGACCCAAAGGTCTTCTGGGACGAGTGAGTTTCTAAGAACAAGCTCGCTGAAAGCCAGCTGAAACGAAAACTAGGAAGAAGAGGGAACGCTTCGTTAGTTGCGCTCCTCTCTCTTCAATCTGCTTTGAACAGAATAACACAGCAAATACAGAGATTAATGAATACAAATCTGTTCAATACCTCTCTTTGATCATCTGATGATGTGTAATGGCTGCAGCTTGGCATAAATCAACCTTTAAAACTTCCTGTTAATAGTGTTTAATACAATTTACTTTGCACTGACTTTCTGAGGAACTG